TTAGCTCATGAATCCCCCAAACCGACTTTTACACCAAAAAATCAATTTGATACGTCTCGGATCTACTTGTGGCCTCGCTAGAGAAGTAAACTTTGTAGATTTTCTTTTTAAAAAAATGCTCCGTTCATTCTCCGAGAGGGTTAAACACACGCATAAGGGCCATATTTAGGTTCCGGGGACTCTGACAACCTTAAATCATAAGAGGTCGTTTGTTATTTCTGTATTGGTATCGTTTTCATGGTGACAGGTGCGATCCAGATCATTTTCATGTACTAACTTCTAGTTTGGGGGCATTTTTCTGATTCCTTTAACAAATAGTATATTATTTCAAACTGGCTCTCAAGGTTAAGGTATCCACACGAAAATTAACTTGTCAGTTGTACCAGGTTAAAGGGTGAAATGTCGTGTTGTGTGTTTCGCAGTCGACGTGACCGAATCTCGCTTCAGATTTTTTTTTAAATCTTTTGACCAGCCCACGTCGGTAAACCTCAAAATAATCATCTGAACAAAAATAGACTGAATTATTGGGGTTTGAACACATCCCTTCGAGGCGAACGAGCCGGCCGGGACCCGGATCGTCGGTTTAATCAGTAAAACCCCGAGTGGGAGGGCTCGAAGTTTAAATATTTACAATTTTGGTTGTTTTTTTTTTACAGTACTCTGGCCGAGGGGTTTTTGTCAATATCAATATCGATGTCTCAGTGAGATTTAGCTTGAATTGTTTTAGATTTAATTTGCTCGGATTGACGTTCATCTTTCTCTGTGTCTGTGTGTGTGTGTCTGTGGCGGGCGGGGGCTTTTCTCTGAACGGGCCACGGGTTCCGACAGTGGGCAGGCCTCCTCCTCGACCCCTGGACCGCGGTGTCGGGTTATGGACCAGCCGAACTCGGGGAGGTGTCGAGCGGGGCTCTGCGGGCCTCGGAGGGCCGCCGCCGCAGCCGAGCCGGAGCGACTCAAAATGGTGAGTGCGTGGTTACCACGGCAACCGGCCTCAGCTTCCATTTCAGAGCGTGGGAGAGAAAGGAGGGAGGGAGAGAGAGGAGAGAGGAGAGAGGGAGCAGGTGGGGGGATGGGAGCAGACGCTCTGAGGGGGACATTGCTCGGGAGACGGAGGGGCGATGCGTCGTCTCGTCCCGCGGAGTGCCGTTGAGAGGGTTTTCCTCCGCCACGTCTGCGATCGCATTATCAATAACGCTGATCATTGACCGCCGGCACCGATCAATGCAACTGATTGATAATACAGACCGCCAGCGCTGCCCAGCGGCACCCGATACACTGATCAATA